CCAGGCAATATTGATGTCTTGAATTGGAACCGTGCTTCATTTGTGTCTGTTCGCGTATGATCCGGCATATGTGACCTTCCTAGTGTTACCAGCTCTATTTACCGTACAGAGTCTACCATTGCCGATGCGCGAATGTTCTGACACTCCGTTACCCCACAATGAGAACCAGGCTTGAAATCTACATCGCTGAGAATGACACAAGCCTGACTCTAATGATGGTATGCATGCTCACTGTCATACATTGCCACCTCTCGCAATCTCGTCCTCCGCTCTTTGATACTTGTCGCCCTCTTTTGCAGTAGTGAACTCATTCTTGATCATTTCTGTCCCCGGAGGATATACGGGAAAATGGGCTGTATGCGATGCTGGGGTGAGCAACTCGTCGACGTTGCTGAAGCGAGGCATATCCCGTGATGCTTCAACACCCTTATTCATTCCGACGCGGACAATGATGAGCGTGGGTGCTATACCCTGTATGAGAATCATGATTAATCGTTTTAATCGAGCTATACAGTAGCTTATGAACCTACCATGAGCTGCTGCATTGCGTTATTAGGAATCGCCTGATAAACAATAAGATTTTTTGCCTTAGTGCGAGGAAGGGCGTGGATGTGCGAAGTACTTACCAGATACGTAGGGCTCAAGACATTGACAATCAAAAAGATCAGCAAAGATAGCGAATATAACGCGCCAGATTCGATACTGAAGAATGGATCAGTGTTGTCGCCGAGAAAGCCATGAATCTACGTACACCATGAGTAATGCCGAGCGATATCGGATACCCACCCTCCTACCGAGTGTACGCTCTAGCTCTCTTGTCGACAGCCATACACGGATCACTGCAAGAGAGATAATCAACGAACAGTTGATGAACAGCACGATAGTGTGTCTGAGGCAAATTGCGCACCAATCAACACAGTCGTCAAGGCATTTGTCGCCAGCCCCAGCGCAAAGCTCGCTTCTGCGAGAACATTGTTCATGCGCTGCGCCTCGGCCAGCTGAGGAGGGCTGGGATCTGACCGTAATATGACGTGGCGAAAGTGGTATATTTCAACATCGTAGTAGATGTCAAGAAGATTCAGTACTGGAGGTGCGAAACGATGAGCGTCCAGCTTTGTAGTGTTGTGGCTCCGGGGATGAACCTACCTGTTGTGGCGAACAAACATACAGTTGAGGGCATGACAACCCATTTCCTGCGATCCCAGATGATGAGACAGCGGTAGATCTTGCCGGTCATTGACTGCGTTAGGAATGTCTTGCAATGGCTCGCTTTCACTCACCAGCAAACCATGTGCGATGACCCTGCACCGTGAATTGCATTCATCGTGGAGAAGCCAGCAATATTAGGAGATACATACTGTGCAAGCGCTGAGAGCCCGTCCTGTATTGTCACGAGTAGGTCCGTGAACACAGTCTCGATCAGACGGACGTTGTCATTATTTTCGGGGGACGTTGAAGGACAGGAGACGGAGGAATAGTCAGAGTAGAATGTGTTCGCTGTGAAGTCCGGCGTTTCGAGTATTTTGACGAAATCGATGAACATGAACGTCGAGCAGAGGGCGAATAATGTTACGGTCGTTAGCAGATAGTATCTGTGCGGGCGTCGGTAAACAAGGACGTAGATCGACCCTGCAAATAGAAGCGTATAGAGACCTAACAAATCGTCAGAATGCACGTGTCTTGACGATTCTTGCGAGGATTACACACCGTATAGAAATGTCTCGACCTTGAGATCGTCCGGGCCGCCAATGTTCAATATGAAAACCGGACAACACGCGAACAGATTGGGATTGCTTACCCATAAACTAGCCAAGCGGCTCTTTGCATGGAATCAGACATATGTCTTAGACAACACGGGATGAAGCTACAGCGCGGTCACTCACCCTGAAGAACTCTTCGCCGCACATGGCCGACTGAACAGCGAAGCCCCTGACAGTAAGAAGGGCTCTGAGCCCTACGAATACCAAGCTTGCTTAGGAGGAGAAGCGGCCTGAATCCCTAGACAAGTCAACCATAGCTCAGAACGGGTCAAACGAGGGTTCCATGTCGTCGAGTCTGCGATTTATACCGGAGCGCTGATAGAGTGGTCGTCGGAATCATTGCGGATGCCGAGTATGCGGCAATTGTGGGAAGAACGTCAGTCTATTCAGGGCAAAGCACCGTGAGAGCGTCTCGTGCTGGAAGCGTTAAAGTCGGATGTTCTGAACGAGGTTCGGCGGCGTCGGTGTGCGTTTATCTGCCCAGCTGCGTCATACTGCAGCGTGCCTGATGGCGAGCGTACTTGCATGTGCACACGACAAGAATTGGAGCGAATATTTCATCGAGGGTCTACAGTATTGGGGCTGTACGACTTGACCAAGGTTCGCCTCACGGGCAGCAAGTAGTTTGAGCTGCCATGAACCGTCTCAACAGCGACACGCGCCTCCGTATGTCGCGTGTGACAGTGGTAACATGACCGAATTGTTCCTGGTACAACATGTGAGGAAGAGATCAGTCTCACGATGACACTTTCACTTTTGAGGTATCAATGAGCAGATCTCGGATCCTGTATACACGGAAAAGGCACGTACTTCCATATTCCGGATAATTCACTGATTGAGCCCGTCAGACAACGACATCCCATTGCGGCACCGCGTCGAACAAGCTTCACAAAGATAAGAAGGCGCTGTATTCTTAGTCTGGCGTCTTGTTGTCCACATATAGCTGCGGACGGCGGTGGCGGTGGGGTTGTTAGGCTAGACCAAATGGAACTCAATCGTTTTCGTGTCTGCCCGGCCGAATATCTCAGCTCATCGACCAGAGACTCGCAATGAGAAAATGAGATCAGGATATCGTTCGCGCATAGTTCTCATCTGGTATCGAAATATACAGCAGACGCATAAAGGGTGGAATGCGACATTATAAATGCTTACGGTCACTGCTTCTCCAAGTCTAACATCACCTCCGATTCCCCTATCCCTTGCATCTCGGTCTCGGAGTCCATTTGCGTCGTGCTGCCACGTGTCGCGAAATGGATGGTGGTGGTATTGGGCCCAAGTGTTTGGCCGGGCGAGCCGTCGCTCATGTGGACTGTCGCATGTTTCGCTTCGAAGCTCGAGCCAAGGCCGACTCGGATGATAATTAGAACCGGCACGATGCCCTGTGAAAGACGGTTACGACGGGACGCAGAGGTAGGAAGGGTCAATACTCACGACAAGTTGTAAGGTTGCACCATTAGATGTGATCTTGGAGCGACGGTCAGTGCAGATTCGAGACGATGAAAGCGAGCAAACATACAAGATAAAGTGGTGCGACAAAGTACGACACGAACGTGACGAGGAAGAACGCAGCAAGTATAGCTCCCGACTCAATTCTGCCACAAGATGCCATGAGCTAGCGCGGAGTATGCCGAAAGAGATCTATACGCACATCATAGTCAGGGTTGAAGCGTAGACTGCGCCTGACGTCCTCCCTGACACCTTCTCGAGCTCCCTCTTCACGGAAAATATTCGCCAAGCTACGTAGGAAGAGGTATCAGCATCGCTATCCCAAGATTTGAAGATATGTTTCTCACAGATCAATGTAGTTGTGATAAGATTAGTCGCGAGAGTAAGCGCATAGCCGGCCTCCGCGACGACGGTATCAAGGTTCGATATCCTGATCCATTCGTCGGAAAGCCCAGCACTCGTCTTTGGCTGGCCTGTCAGGCGATAAATTGTCGCATCGCAGTACACTGCAGCTAGATTACACCCTTTTTTGGACTTCTTTAGGTGTCTCGACACCCAAATGATAGAGACGACGCACCTAGCATTGCGAACAGTATCGGAAGAATGGGGAGCGCAAAACGCTTTCTGTAACCCCATAGAACGTAGCAGCGGAAGATCTAGAATACGTCAGCCAAACGCGAAAGGATCTTCTTATTAGCAGCGCACCATTAATCCATCCGCAATGAATCTGCTTCAAGTCAGAGAAGCCTTATCCGTTGACGAGTAGCATTACTCACAGTGCGAGAGCGAAGAAAAAATCGACCAGCGTGGTCCCAAGATTCGCGATGCGCGCTTCCCGTTTCCTCTCGTCGCTGCTAGTGCTGCATGCAACGGCCGTGCCATCGACAACATCAGATGTCGATGTTGTGACGCGTGTTAGGATGACCCGAAGCAAGTCGATGACTACAACCGCGATGCATAGCGTGAAGATTGCAATCGAGGTGGCCAGATAGTACTTGTTGCGCTTCACATGCGTCAGCACGTAGATCGCGCCCCCGAACAAAGCACAATTGAGCCCTTGAAGCAGTCTCAGTGCATTCGCCTCGAGAATTCCGAAAGGATGCTACTTACCGAAGAGAACCGTCTCTGCCTAAGCCCGCACAAAATGAGAGATCTTTATCAGCACACGAGAACACCCTGCTCACCCATAGACCACCGATTTGAGTCTAAGCGAAGCTGTATGAGAATGGTTGGGATCCTCTTGTAGAGATAACACGACGCACCTTGTACCACTCATCTCCGCAGCTGTCCATTGTTCACGTCGTACGCCAGAAGCAGGTGGTACTTACGAAGGCTTGAGCGGGGCGAGATACGGAAGCCAACAACGCGCACCGCACGACGGGTGGAACAAGCGACCCTGCAAGATTATACGTACGCGACATCGCATCTCCCGGGATCGACGCGATCCCCAGATGGAATAGGCTAGCATCGGTCGCCATGCGGCATGGTTGAGCAGGCCGCGGTCGTGGTGCTGCTTTGATCACAAAATTTGGGGCAGGTGCCTGATAATCCTCAGTCTTCCCGATCTCTTGAACACCGCCGATCCCCACGCCAGCGAGTTGCTGGAACATCGTTCACCATTGTCGATGGCAAGCAACTGGTCAAACGGTAGAGACCTAACGGTAGTCAGAGACTGCATGAACACGGTTGGAACCTACTCTAATTGTACAGCATGCAGGGTCGTCGAGTGCCGTGATAGCCGCCTTACGCCGGCTTCCCCGACCTGAAAAAACTTGAGGCGGGGTTAAAGATTGTTGATTCGACCCGGGCTCGAACCGGGGACCTTCTGTGTAGAGCATCGCAATGCGAAGAGTGTTAGACAGATGCGATAACCAGCTACGCCATCGAACCATAATGCATGACATGCATGATGAGCTGTGCACGGGCGTAGTGGTCATGGTCTCGGTGAGCTCTATCCTACGTTGCGTCGGCAACGAAGCAGAAAATGCAATCGGTCTACGGTCATTTTCGACTTTCAGTTCAAACGCAGTCAGTGCTTCCACAGCATAGCGAACTAATCTAGACTAATCTTCATTAGTTATCTCTGACCCTTCCTCATCCGGCAGTCAAGTGACACTACTGGTTCAAGTTCATGGTGGGCATCGCTCATGTATATATCTGTGTATAGGTGCTTCTTTAAGGTTTTAGATTCATCAGATACAACCTTTACTGGGTTATGCGCCATGCATGTCCTGCCCCACTGCGAAAACCGCGGCCACAGAGGCGTCTCAAAGGCCTCGGTGGTGCTTACTCAGACATTCCAACTGCGCGGTCCAGGAGCGCCGCGCCAAGGAGCAGTCATCGGATATGCAGTCGACTAAATACCGCGGCATGATCGGCAGACAGTCTGCTCCTCCGCTGGGACCACCATTCGAACGTTGCTGAATCAGCCACGTCCAATGTCTTACCAGCTCCTCTTCACCCCATTGGACATCCATCCTCGGGCAACTATCTTCTCAACACCCGGATTCTATTGGCGCTGGCGCGATATATTTCACGGCGTAATGGCAAGTACGCGTCTGCTAGCGATCAGTCAGATTTGACTTACTCAGCAACGATGCGGCTCTAAAAGTTCACCGTCGGCATTACTGGCCTGCTATCTTGCGGTATAAAAAGGCCAAGGTAAACTTTTCGAGAGCCAACGTGCTAACCTGTAAATCAGACCTATCGCTCCCTTCTCTTGATTTAAACATTGCATTCGGATAAACATGCCTTCCTACGTCATCACCGGTGCAAACCGCGGCATTGGCCTTGCGTTCGTCCGCCAACTGGTACGCTACCGTCTCCCGGCACGAGTTTTCGATCCATGCTGACGTTCGCTTCAGAGCGCAAAATCCGAGAACATTGTCATCGCCCTCGTTCGCAATATCAGTACCACAGATGGATTGAAGAGCTTGAACCGCTCCAATGTTCACATTCTGCAGGCTGACATCGGCGATCTTGCCAGCCTTAAGGTAGGCATTCCCCCGCGCTTTCTTTTTCCGTAGCAGTGACCAAAGGCGTGCTATCAGCGCGCCGCGGCGGATACCGCGAAAATCACAGGCGGATCGTTGGACGTACTCATCAACAACGCGGCCATGCTTCCTAACGAGAGGGACGCTCTCCCCCTCGATGGATAGTTCGTATTTCATTTCGAGCCCCTTCAAATTTATGTTGCTGAGGAGGCTTTCAGTCCCGAAGCCGAGGAACGATTCCTTGCGGAAGACCTTGTCGCGCTCGTAGGTCTTCTCCGACCCAGGCTTTGATTGTCGGAATGATACTCATGTCTCGTTCAGTTCACGGTCAATGTTGTCGGAGTAGTCCACACGATCAATAGCTTCCTTCCACTCATCAAGAAGGGTTCCTCGAAGAAAGTCATCGTCATCAGCAGCGGAGTCGGTGACCTTGACCTGACTCTTGCCTCTGGACACGAAACTAGCGGCCCTTATTCAATCTCGAAGGCGGCGGTGAATATGGCGGTTGCAAAATATGCTGCCGAGTACAAGTCCCAGGGTATCTTCTTTCTGGCGATCAGTCCTGGTCTCGTGGACACCGCTACTCGCGCGCGCGAGTGTTCTCTTATTCGCGCACATAAAAGTCGGCTGACTGGGGCGATAGCTACTGCCAAGGAACTCGAAGACATGCAGAAGATGGTCACGAAGTTCAAGAAGGTCGCGCCCAATTGGCAGAGGCCCCTCACGCCCGACGAGTCGGTTGAGATGATGCTCAAGGTGTTCGATGACTTGACGCTGGAGAGCAGCGGTGCCTTCTTGTCGCACAAGGGAAATAAGGAATGGTTGTAGCGAACGATGCCACCGCAGAAATGAAATGTTTTCTGTACGAACAGTGAAATTTGCATCTTGTCCTAAACAAGTGGTTACAGCCGTTCCTTGGGTTTCGTCAAGAGTCAAGATGGCTAGCAACTCGCATGTACTCTCAGCGCGAGTTGTGTGCCATCAAGCATCGTATTAACGCCTGCCGCCGGTTTCCCCGAGCAATACAATCTCCGCTTCAGTTGGCCGCTGATCAATTGCAATTGACCCTCTGCTAACACATGTACATGTCCAGTTTCATTGCGAATACCGCAAGGTGGTCCCAAATTGCATCCGAATACTAACGGCTTCGGCACCGTTTGCTCAGACGTCGAATGCAACTGCGCGGTTTAGGGGCTCTGCGCCAAGGAGCACTTGTCGAGTATGCAGTCCGTTGGATACCGCGGCCCCGATATGATCAGGAGACTGCACCATTCGAACTTTGCTGAATCAGCCACTTCGAATGTCTTACCCGCTCCTCGTCACCCCATTGGACATCCGCACCTAGACAACCCTCTTCCCACCACCCGGGTTCTATCGCTATATTGCACGGCGTAATGACCAGCACGCGTTCCGCTGCTATGATCAGTCAGACTTGACTTACTCAGCAGCGGTGCGGCTGTAAGACCTGGTCCATCGGCATTAACAGACCTGGGATTCGGCGGTATAAAGGAGCCAAGGTAGCTCTGTCGAAAGCCAACTTGCTCACTCGCAAAGCAGACTCGTCTCCCCATTTTTTATCTGACAACCACATCCATAGACATGCCCTCCTACGTTATTACTGGTGCAAACCGCGGCATCGGCCTCGCGTTCGTCCGCAAGTTGGTATGGTACTGTCATTTGGTGCCGCTTTTCGATGCACGCTCACTTTGACTTCAGAGCGCGAAACCTGAGAACGTTGTCATCGCCCTTGTTCGCAACCTCGGCACCACAGAGGGATTGAGGAGCTTGAACCGCTCTAATGTCCACATTCTGCACGCCGACATTGGCGATCTCGCCAGCATCGAGGTAGGTGCCGTCGTCTAATTTCTCCTTTGTCGTAGCGATGACCCGAGGTATGCCGTCAGCGCGCCGCGGCCGAGACTGCAAAGATCACAGGCGGATCGTTGGACGTCCTCATCAACAATGCTGCCATGCTTCCTAACGAAAGGGATGCCCTACCTCTCGACGGATAGTACGTTCCTCATCGTGAGGGCCTTCAGGTATATAGCACTGACGGAGCGTTCAGCCCCAAAGGCCAGGACCAGCTGCTTGCGGACGACCTCACCGCCTTCGTAAGTTGTTTTCCGCGGCATCGGCTTTTGCTGTCGTGACCATATTCACGTATTGTCTACTAAGTTTACCGTGAACGTCATCGGAGTAGTTCACACGATCAACAATTTCCTACCGCTCATCAAGAAGGGCTCCTTGAAGAAGGTCATCGTCATCAGCAGCGGCGCCGGAGACGTTGACCTGACTCTTGCCTCTGGCTACGAGACCAGCGGCCCCTACTCGATCTCGAAGGCGGCGGTGAACGTAGCGGTTGCAAAATACGCCGCCGAGTACAAGTCCCAAGGCATCTTGTTCTTGTCGATCAGCCCCGGCTTCGTGAACACTATAACCCGCACCCGTGAGTTCTCTCTGAATTGTGGGCACGATGAGATAATCGAACCTGGATGATAGTGACTGCCGAAGAACTCGAGTACATAAACACTACTATCGCGAAGTTCAAGAAGGCTGCCCCTGACTGGAAGGGCCCCCTCTCGCCCGACGAGTCCGTCGAGATGATGTTCAAGGTCTTCGACAGCTTGACGCCGGAGAACAGCGGCTCTTTCTTGTCGCACCACGGGGACAAGGAATGGCTGTAATGAGCGGTGTAGCCACAGATATGAATATTTGCCTTCCCTGTAGTGATACATGTAAAATTACATCTCTTCTTCGACTCCCGACTCGGATTAGAGCCATTCTCTAGGCTTCGTCAAGACGGCAAGCAGCTTCGCCTCTTCGCTGGTCTCCTCGGTGCCCACTTCGCACATGTACTCCCAGCGCACCTCGGAGGGAAGACTGAGGAGGATACTCTCGATCCGCGCCTCAGGGGTAAGAAGACCGAACTTCGTGCCGCGGTCGTAGACGAGGTTAAACTCAACATATCTACAATAGGCCATTGAGTTGAAGGCGAAGCGAGTGAGAAAGGAAGAACGCACCGTCCACGTCTAACCAACTGCCATCTCCTCTGCTCCGGCGTGTAATCCAAATTCGCCCGGCGCTTGAGAACCGGCAGATAGGACGGCAAAAACGCCTCGCCGGCGCTCTTCACGAACGTGAATATGTCCTCCTTCGTCCACGGCCTCTCGCTCGTAGACTCCTCCAGCGCGTTCGGCAGCCTCTTGTGCGGGTCCGCGCACAGGTCGTCGAAGAAGATTCCCCCGACTCCGCGCGCCTCCTTCCGATGCGTGATGAAGAAGTACTCGTCGCACCACTTCTTGAACGCGGGGTACAGCTGCGCGCCGTGCGGGTCGCACGCGTCCTTGAGCGTCCGGTGGAAGTGCACCGCGTCCTCCTCATAGAGATACGACGGCGTGAGATCGCACCCGCCGCCGAACCACCACGCGAGCACCTCCGGCTGCTCCGTCTGCTCGGCCCCCTCCGCGGCCTGCGCCGTGATCTCGAAGTAGCGGTAGTTCGCGTGCACGGTGGGCGCGTGCGGGTTGCGCGGGTGGATGATGAGGCTGATGCCCGCTGCGAAGAAGGGGAGCGCCGCCTCCGCCTGCGGGTCGTACGGCACGGACGCGTGCTCGACGCGCATCTGCTTGATCGCGGCGGGCGGGAGCGTGCCGTGGATCACGCTCACGTTCACGCCCGCCTTCTCGAGGACCGTCGGCTTGTCGTAGCCGTAGGGAAGTTGGAAGACGCAGGAGATGCCGTGTCCGCCCTTGGCGCGCTTCCACGAGTCGCGCAGGAAAGGAGGCGCAGAGGGGTCGAGCTCCTCGAAGGAGGTGACGATTTTGTCTTGGAGGCTGAGCACGAAGTCGGCGACGCGGGTACGCATTGGTTGTGCGGGCATGCTGGGCGTTCCAAGGG